CGGCCCGGCCTGCAGGTGTATGGTGAGTCGGCCTGGCCCTGGTGCCCCAGTGTCTGTGGGTCGGAGCAAGGGGGGGTGACATGGTCCCTTGTGTAATCCCATGTGTGTTAGGGGATGCTGCCCTATGGGATTGAGGTGCTAGCTCTCCCCAACCCTCAGTCCTTGGAGACATGGGGTGCTCCTGTCACTGCCTGGAGACTCCCCAGGCAGTGACAGGAGCACCCTTGCTGCCCAGGGAAGGACACACCGCTGGAGGACATCGCTGGATCCCCTCGGAAGGGCTGGCAGAAGGGGCGGCAGAAAGCAGAGGTGGATCCCACTCGGGAGGACACAAGTGGTGAGCTGAGCCGGAAGGACATACGTCTCTGAGCAGGCGGGGGGGGTCTGGTGTTATGGTGTGGGTCCAGATTTGCTGCCCCGTGGCAGGGCCTGGGACCACAGTGGGGCTATGCAGAGCACGGCCTCATGCTGGGCAGGAGAGGGGCAGGGTGTGCTTGGATGAGAGCCCTGAGTGATTCATGCTCTGTGTGGGGCCTCAGCCCCTGTCTTACCACCTCCCTCAGCCCCAGAGGAGGAGGAAGAGGAGGGGGAAAGCCCTTTAGGGGAACTGGAGACTGTGGAAATGACACTGGGGACCTTGGACCTCCGAGAGTTCGAAGTGATGCCCAAGCGAAACCGCAGAAGGAAGAAGAAGAGGGACAAGAAGGTGGAGAAAGGTGAGGGGGAAGAACTGGCGGGGGGTACAGGCTGGCCCCAGCCTTCTTCCTCACCATGTGCTCCCTGCTCAGGGCCCCGTGCCGAAGATTCCGGATGCCATGGTACCCAGTGTGGGCAGCCCAGCCTGGAGCTGCAGGGGGTAGCTGGGGCTGTGCCCTTTTCCTGGTATGATGAAGGTAAGTGGGGTGCGGTGCTGGGCCGGGTGGATGCCTGCCCCCTTTGCTGGGGGCCTGGCAGCGGGGTGAAGAGCATGTTGTCACGCAGGTGCCCAGCTGGGTGTGGGGTGGCTGTGGTGCAGCCACGTGCCTTTGGAAGAGCTTCTGTGCAGAGCATAGCTCTGACCCAGCGTCAGGCTCAGCCAGGCGTGCTGGGAGGCTTGGAGAGGGTCTCTTTTAGGGAGAGGGCTCGGCCGCTGCCAGTAGTGCCCAGCAGTGCCATGGTACATCGTCACAGACTCTGAAGGTGTTGGAGATCCTGCAGTTCCCAAATCCAGCTAGCAGGATGATGCTTTAACTGCACGCTGTGGGTTTCCTGGTTGCACCAGAGCACCCCTCTGCCCAGGGAGCCATCAGACTCCCCGTTTTTCCCTTGCAGAAGACCCTCAGTCCCAGGTCTGCAATGTCCTCTTCACCTCCAGCAAATTGGGGGATGTGAGGATGTTGCGACACCTCCTGGGCTTGTCGGAGCACGGGGGCCTGCTGGAGGACGACGAGGATGGGGTGAGCACAGAGTCCCTGGATATCCCCCACTCCCTGCTCAACCAGCCCGTGGATGAGCATGGCTCCACCCTGCTTCACGTGGCGGCAAGTGCCGGCGAGGCCGAGGCTGTATGGCTGCTGCTGGAGGCGGGGTCCGACCCTGCCCTCAGGTACGGCCCAGCAGCCCGTGAGCTGTGGGAGCCCAGCAGCTCCTGTCTCAGCCACGGAGACGGGTGCCAGCGTCACCCACAGCCCAGTGGGACCGTCGGGAAGATGGGAGGGTGAGCTGGTCTTCCTTGTCCTGCAGAGACAGGCAGGACAGGACACCCTACTGCGTCTCTGCTGACAAAACGACCCGCAACGCCTTCCGCAAGTTCATGGTGGACCATCCGGACAAGTACGACTACAGCCGTGCCAAGGTGGGCCTCTGCCCTCGCTGCCAGGGCTGGGGGACCCCAAGCAAAGCACCCCTCGAAAAAAATGGGTGGGAGATGCTGATCGCCCTCTGTCCCCAGGTGCCAGGGCCCCTGACGCAGGAGATGGAGGCCAAGAAGCTGGAGAAGAAGCGGGCGCAGAAAGCCCAGCGGAAGCAGCGGGAGCAGGCGCAGCGGGA